CGGGGGAAACCCCCAAACCACTGTCCACCCAAATTTGGGGAGGGGAAACCACTTTTTGTGAAAATGAATCAGGCGGGGAAATTAGCCCGGGTTTTTCAAACCACCAGTTACTGACAAAACGACTAAACCGCCATGAATCAGGGCCCCCAAAACATTGCCACTTTCGGGCCCTCCTCACACTGCGGGGTGTGTTCCTTTTTTTTGTCATGGGGTGCTGGCAGATTACGGCCTCCCATAGCTCTGCCAGGCCCCAAAATCTGCCATGGGCCCCAAATACCACCCCTCATGCCCCGCCAAGTCCAAGTCCTAAAGGGGTCCCTGTACGGCCTCCCATTGCTGCTGTCTCCATCGCCACACCTCCCAAAATTGCCACTTTCGGTCTCCCCCACCCCGCGGTGGGTTCCATTTTTTGTCATAGGGTGCTGGAAATTACGGGCCTCCCATAGCTGCTGCCGGGCCCCTAATCTCCCCAGGGGCCCCCTATCCCGGGCCTTTCCTCATGCTGCTCCGGGGGCCGGAGTCTCCCCGGTCCCTGTAGGGGCCTTTCCCATTGCTGCTGTCTCCATCGCCACAACTCTCCCCAACCCCAACTTTCGGGTCTCCTCACACTGCGGGGGTTTTCCCCATTTTTTGTAAATAGGGTTTTTGGGGCAGTTTAAACCGGGCCCCCCCATAGCTGCTGCCAAAACCCCTAACTGCCAGGGGCCCCTATACCGCCCCCCTCATGCTCGGCCAAAAGTCCAGAGTTTTCATGGGTCCCTGTACCCGGCCTCCCAAAACCTGTGTGTTCAATTTTTTGACATTGGGTGCTGGCAGATTACGGGCCTCCATAGCTGCTGCCAGGCCCCTAATCTGTCATGGGCCCCTTGTACCGCCTCCCCCATGCTGCTGCCAGGAGTCCAGAGTGTGTCATGGGTCCCTGTACGGGACCTCCCATAGTGCTGCCATGCCCCTAATCTGCCATGGGCCCCCGTACCGACTCCTCATGCTGCTGCCAGGCCCGTAATCTGTCATGGGCCCCTGTTGTCGCTTGTTGGCATATTCCGCTCGTTCAGATGCTCCTTCTCCTGCTACTCCTCTTCACGGATTCCGTCAGCAGTCTTTCTTGGAATACCGTTTCCAAGAGACAACAGTTTGCGAGCACGCACCCGACGGTGCAGCAGAAGCTGAACGTCCTTCTGTCCAAGTTGCTGCTGCCAAGGCTCGTAATCTGTCATGCGCCCCTGTACCGCCTCCTCATGCTGCTGCCAGGTCCAGAGTGTGTCATGGGCCCCCGTACCGACTCCTCATGCTGCTGCCAGGCCCGTAATCTGTCATGGGCCCCTGTACCGCCTCCCCATGCTGCTGCCAGGTCCAGAGTGTGTCATGGGTCCCTGTACGGCCCCCATTGCTGCTGCCAGGCCCGTAATCTGCCATGGGCCCCCGTACCGACTCCTCATGCTGCTGCCAGGCCCGTAATCTGTCATGGGCCCCTGTACCACCTCCTCATGCTGCTGCCAGGTCCAGAGTGTGTCATGGGTCCCTGTACGGCCTCCCATTGCTGCTGTCTCCATCGCCACACTCTGCCATGTGCCACTTTCAGGTCTCCTCACACTGCTGGTGGTTTCCATTTTTGTCATAGGGTGCTGTATGGCCTCCCATTGCTGCTGCCTCCACCGCCACACTGTGGCTCCACACTCTGGTTTTGGCCCCGTGACTGCCCAAATGAGTGAAGTGTGCGGTGATTCTAAGATCGACGGCACTCATCTGCATGTCATACTGACTGTCAGTATTATTTCTCTTCCCCAGCAGACTCCAAGGGCATTTAAATTAAAGGTACAGTGTTCTGCACTAATATAAAGTCTCTCTGAAGCCTAGAAACACCCTTTTATAAGTTAAATTCGCAGCGAATATATTCGACTCGAATCGAAATTTTTCCACGAATTCGCCGAATCAGTCGACATCGAAATTTTGAATACTTCGCTTATCTCTAATTGGAATGGTTGCAGTCTCAGTGATGGTCCTCGTCTCTAGTGATTGATTAGGCTGCATTTTCAGGGACAATCCTAGTGCATACTTAATTGATAGATTATATTTTTTAGTGATTACTGTGACGGACGTGGCGTCAGATCCCAGCCCTTCTCACCAACTTGTGACAGAAGGACTAGCCAATCTAAAACCGCGCTGCCACTTGCGTAACAATGCCACTCTCAACTGCACCCTGCACAGAGATTTTCCAGCTCACTGGACCACAATCTGGTGTTCCTCTCTGTCAGCCGCTGCTTGGCGTTCAAGGAACTGCAGGTATGCCAGGGGCTCTGTCTCCTTGATGCGTTCCATGGCTTCCTGCATCTGAGGAGAGTATCTGCTGGTTACAGGCACTCCGGTGCTGGCCTGCTCAGGCTGTGGTGTGAAGATAACATTTGGTGATACTCCAGTGTCAGTCTCTGTATGCCCATCCTGCGAAGCCGTATCGGAGCCACTGGGATCGGAGGTGGCGGGAACCCCTTCATTTTCAAGTTCCCCCGAGTTCTAGTCTGCCCGGATATCATGCTCCTGTAGGTCATGAATCAAATTTTCACGAATTTTGCCACCAACGTCAATTCCTCCTGCCTCACATTCAGTACTTAAATCACTTTTGTTCATTTTCTTGTATTCTGCTAAACCAGGCATAATTGCAAGCAAAGGTAGAATAGAAAGCAGAAAAAGGAAGGAGCTGTTGCTATATGTCTATATATATATATATATATATATATTTATATATATATATATAAAATATGCACCGTTTGTCTCTAAGGACTGTTTCCACAAAGGTTACAATCCTTCAGTGCAGAGCTAATTCCTAACAACGCACTGAATGCTCTAATGCAGAACTATCCCACCGATGCTACCAATATGTGATGGGCGCGGAGTCAGACCCCAGCCCTTCTCACCAACTTGTGACTGAAGGACTAGCCAATCTAAAACCTCGCTGCCACTTGCGTAACAATGCCACTCTCAGCTGCACCCTGCACAGAGATTTTCCAGCTCACTGGACCACAATCTATGTGCCAGCAGCCTGAGAGCGATTGTTACTGGGGTCAGGTTAATTACGCAATTAAGCCTTCACACTGCCACCACAACCCTTTTTACAGAGAAGGAGGAAACTCACAAATCTTAGCAGTAACACTATGATGTTTGAATAAGCGTCTCTATACACACTGCCACCACAGACAGATGTATGCAGATGTTTTTAAACACACAGTAGCACTCTTCAGAGACAGGGATTCTTAGTTTGCATTAAAGAGCTTTAGAAACATTTCAACACTTTTCAGAAAATAGTATTTATTACTAAAAAGGTCAAAATGGTGCAATAAACATATTTACAGAAAAGATGTAACAAATATATATATATATATATATATATAAAATAGAGAGAGCAATAACACAAGAGAGAGATGAAGAAAGAAGTTTAAGAAGGTAGGATACTTGCAGAAGTCCTTGGTTTAAGCAGAGTTCAAGTGTCCTGAACAAAAGGGTACCTTTTCTCCCGAAGTTGGTTCCTGATGTTAAAAGGGGAGAATCTCGTCATCATCCTCTCCATGCATGGCAGCCTGTTTTCTAGTGTCCCAGCAGGGGGTGTCTACTGAAGCCAAGGGCCAATCGCCTCATTTGGGGAGGGGGTTTAGGCGGAGACCCAGGCTAGGTCCAAATCCCTCACAAGTTTATACCATGGCCAATAACCTTCACTAGGTACATGTAGCAACCTAGCCACTGGTAGATTAATATGCAGAATGATATCCTGAATGTCCAGACATCAAATATGACATATCTTACCATTCCAGATAAAGACATATTGCTTTCTATTCTCATGTAGGTGCCACATAGGGGTGTAAGGTGTCAGGTGACTCATATTAAACTGACCTATCTGAATATGTGCTTTGTTTTATTGTACCTTGTTTCTGTCGGGATTTATGAATTTGTATGAAAAAGTGGTTTCAAGTGGGATGTACGTTTTACTGCCACTCTGGAATGCTTTTCATGTCCAGTGACTGACTGGTTTATAGCTTTATGACCAGGCCAAGGCAAGAGTCTGACAGACATCATGGGACCAGCTTAGTGGGTTTACAACCATGAAGCGTATCCAGCTGTGCCCTGTGCACTCCTGAACTCAGCACACACACAGACCACATTCCTTGCAAGGGCAGGGGGGGCTGGAGTGAGAGAGAATGATATTTGCAGAGTATGATACAAGTTGGTGGCAAAATGGTTGTCCACGTCCATATCTGTGCTCACAATTATCACAATTACCCTTATCTATAGTATACAAATATGCGTGAAAAGACAAGTTTACCCTAATGAGCTTCAGCCTCCAAGCAATTATCTGGGAAAAGACTCACACATAAACATTTACCCATTTTTATTTATGTCAGTTTTGTCTTGCGACCAAGAATGGTTTGTATGATCTCACCTGCCAGTTATTCTGTTGAGGAGGCTCCAGAGCCTGTGTCATCAATGAATACAGTGATTCCTGCTTATTTTAGGATTCTGTGACTCACCCAATGACTGCTAGCCAGAAGGAGCGCTATTTGAGTTTTGGGTATTCAACCACCTTTGACGTTCGGTCCTACCTATCAAGTTTAGGGTTTTTTATGCCATTGGTGTCCCATTGAGTGGATTTCCCTTCACTTACTTTCCCACATCTAATCCAGGAAATGAGAGGAAATCCCTCCAAAATGAGGGAATCCCTGATTGTTAGCAGTGTCACCAGAGCTAATGTCCCCATTGGATGATTTCCCCTTTATACCTAACAACCAAAAATGTGTGATTTTCTTTCACTGTCGCTTGGCAATAACATTAAACAGGACAAATAGAGAGGGTCAATCTCCTTTATAGGGACACGGAAAGCAAAAAAATGTAACCGGTGATCTAATCCTTCTCCACACTATCCAAAACTAAAAAGAAAAAGTGTTTCCATTAGGTATACATTAAGTTAGGCATTAAAAAACTGCATTCAGGTCTGGACCTGCATTTCGTCACAGATGCAAGAGCATATAAGTGATACAGTGATAAGGTATTTTTGAGAAGGTGTCTCCCTTACAAGCTAAGGCTCTCCTGGGAACATTTAGCATTCTCTAGTAGAGCACAGCAGTTTATTCTCAGATTTTCTATTTTGCACTTAAACACAGCCACGCAGCATGAATGCAGGTCATCAATGTGACAGGAAATGCCAGGCTATGTCCATTGTGGCTGGTATTTTTTCATAGGAGAGGTGGAAACCCAATTTAAATCTAATTAACTGTTGGTACTCTCTCTGCATCTCTGAGATATAACACCATGCTCCTGGAACAGATAACACAGTGTAGGTGCGGCAAATAAAAGTAACAGTATAAACCTCCTGCGCTATGAAGTGGAAAATAAATCAAAAATAGCTGCTAACACCCACAACTTAATACCTATAAGTGAATAATGCTAAACATATATAAAGTGGTGTAGCGCTCATATATAAACCAAATATGTATAAATAAGTGAATAATAATCTAATAATATTAATAGTAATAAAAATCATAAATGGTGATACATAAAAAACCATAAATAGTGATACATAAATATATGGTGACCTGATCCCCTCTGGGATCTTAAAGTGACCTGAAAAACGTGAAATGAAAAATGTGGTCCTAATTGGACCCAATGTGGTAAACACACACACAAAGTGCTATCCAATTACCTAAATCTCTAATTTGGATCAGTGGCTAAACACAGCCTAAAAGACAAAACCAACAAGTGCCACATACAAGTGAATCCCTGCACTGGGGGATAAACCTCCTATATAAAGTGACTAGTGCTTAGTGAAAAAAATATATATAATTCAAAGAACTGCAAAATTGTGCACAAAAAAAAAAATCACACAGTGCCTGAAAATCAAAATACTCTCCCCCACTGAATACCTCTCATAATTAATTCCAAAAATATTGCCTTAAAAAATAATAGTATAGTGAAATGTACTTATAAATCAAAAAAAAAAAAGTAATTATAAAAGTCCAAAAATGATGTGCATATATGCCAAGTGTTCCATTAAGTCTTCCAAAACATGCAGGTGGTGCAGTGGATGTGCATTACAGCCACTGGTGATAAATCCAAAAATGGCTGAATTGCCTCCTCACCTCCTTACCGTGACCCAATGGGCCAGATCGCTTTTGGGATCACAACTGGATCCTCCACGAACAGATTCCCCTTTGTGGTATCCTTCCAAGTAGTAGTAAAGGCCACTTCAGTATAATGCGTTTAGCATCTCAGATCACCTTCAGATTCCCTTCAGATGTACGTACCCGTAATAAAGCCAACTCTCATATGGATCATAGTAATGATATGAAAAAGAGATCCAAGACAACATGGAAATGTCTGCTAGAAGAAGCCTGCCTCTATAATCATTATCATTATTAGTAGAGATGAGCGAATCGAACTTGGCGAAGTGGAATTCGTTTCGAATATTAGGAAAAATTCGATTCGCACCAAATCCGAATTTTAGCAAAACTTCGGATGCACGAATCGAATTTTCCCCGATCAGCCGGCAAAAAGTGTCACTGCAGAGAGCTCCGCTATTTCTGACAGTTCTCTGACAGTTCCTTCACATTTACAGCGGTTGAAACATTGTATCTATTTGTTTCCATTTAGGATACAGATGTTTTTATTCGGAAACAAATAGATACAATGTTTCAACTGCTGTAAATGTGAAGGAACTGTCAGAGAACTGTCAGAAAATAGCAGAGCTCTCTGCAGATACACTTTTTGCTGTACTGGAATTCTTCTTCTTTTCATTCTTCTTCTTCTTTTCATTTCTTCTTCTTCTTCTTCTTCTTCTTTTCATTCTTCTTCTTCAT